TGATAAAGGTTATTCGTCCGGTCGTATAGGTTAAAAAAATATACTTGACCGAGTTGGACTTTGTGTAAAGTCATCTGATTACTTACTATGTTATTTAGTATTTATAACTATTATAATACGGGAGTCTTGTATATATATATGTAGAAAATGCATGCAAAATCTCAGCCCGATCGGTTTAAAATTGACAAATTTTCATACAAACTTTCATCCCCTATTTTATCCCCTTGGGGGTAGAATTAATCAAAATCCTTTCTTAGCGGATGCCTACGTCATAACATCTACCTGCATACCAAATTTCAGCCCGATCCGTCCAGTGGTTTGGGCTGTGCTTTGATAGATCACTATGTCAGTCACTAAATAAATAACTCTTTATTGTGTACACATAAGAAACAATAAGAAAATACAGTAAATAGTAAAGTGGGCAAAAAGGCGATCATCGCTATAAGCAATTTTTTACCGACAACCTAGAAGATAGGACTTATGTACATAGAATGGGTAGGTGGCACACATAAGACACTATTTACTATACTACTAAATATACATACATAAATTAGGTATATCTATATAAGGCCTCCCCCAAAGATCTCCACGACGATCAGTCCTGCGCCGCTCGCATCCAATGCCTTCCAGCGATCTTCACCAGATCGTCGGTCCACCTTGCTGGAGGCCTTCTCACGCTACGTCTTTCGGCCCGCGGTCGCCACTCGTGGACTTTACTGCCCCAACGGCCATCTGTCCTACGAGCTATGTGCCCTGCCCATTGCCACTTCAGTTTTGCAATTCTTCGGGCTATGTTGGTCATATACATGCATATATCTATATATATATATTTATAACTCAAAAGTGACTGATATAGTGATCTATCAACGCACAGCCCAAACCGCTGGTGGTTAGTGTATTGTTCCAAATTTGAATTTACAAATAAATCTGTATTATTGTAAACATGTACAACATATATTTGAAACGAATACGAGTTGAGTTTCTCGTCAGTTCTTCTCATCTCGAAATTATTCCGAACTGACGGTAGATTTGACATATCATAAGAGTCTGTAATATGCCTACACGAATAAAGATATTTTGAATTTGAATTAAAGTTCTATAACGAATCTGTTGACCTATTTAAGGTCTACAGGTACGATTCCCAAATAATACCGTGCAACAGCGCGGGGGTGAGAGGGGGGTGGAACGTAAACAAATCCATTGTTTGCATATTTAATTTACGTTACAGTTGAGAAATCTGGCTCATTTGAATTTTATGATTTTCGTCTACTTCCGTTGTCGGTTCAAACAGTTTTCTTAATAAACCGACGAATAATAGAGCGAATCGTTTTTTCGTAGAGTTTTTTTTTGTGCAGACTCGATATAGTAGTGGTTTTATAATTTAGAAAATATGTAGTACTAGCTTTTGTCCGCGGGGTGGTATTTATCAAAATTCAAAATCCAAAAATCATTTATTCATGCATTTTAGTTAATTTATTACCCCGTCCAGTTATATAGGGGAACTGGAATTTATCAAAATCCTTTCTTTAAATGGGCATGAACAACTATTGCCTACGTCATAGTGATCGTTTAGTGAGTAATAGGCTTTGCTCAGTAAATATGATTTAACAGATGTTTTGAATTTATTTGAGGGTAATTCAACATATCCCTTGGTATCTTATTGTAAATTTTTATCCTATTCCCATAAAAGACCTATTAACTTTTTCTAAACGATACTTCAGGACAGCAATTTTGTCTTTAAATCTTGTATTAATATTATGAATATTGCATACAAACTTTCTTATCCTATCATTTAACTTTATGCATGCAAACTCTCAGTCCGATTGATTTAAAATTGACAAAGTTTCAGAAATTAATCAAAATCCTTTCTTAGCGGATACCTACGTCATAATATCTACCCGCATGCCAAATTTCAACCCGATCCGTCCAGTGGTTTGGTCTGTGCATTGATAAATCACTACGTCAGTCAGTCACCTTTGAGTTATATATATTTAAAAGATTGAAACTTAACGCGTATGAAACCGCGGGCACAGCTAGTATATCTTATATTTCCAATGAATATGAACAGTCAATTTGGTAATCATTAATGCGTGAAATTTCGTTGTTATATTCAGTCAAAGAGGTGCTTCAATTAATTCTATACGTATCTCTTTATACAATGTTTAGTACATATTAATGAAGCATCAAATATACATGTTTTTGTATAACAAAATCAAATTGTTAAAATATTTGACGGCCTTGGTGGTCTAGCGGTTATTCACGGTCTAGCGGTGGTACACTTTTTTATTTTCGATGGTCGCGGGTTCGATTACACGGTACACACGTTTTTATTCATATGTATCGGTCTGGTTGTTTTATGGTATTTGTATCAGACGTCTAGTACCCATAACAGAAGCTCTGCTTACTTTAGGACTAGATAGATAATGTTGTGTGAATAGAATAGAATAGAAAATAATTTATTCAAATAAACTTAATTTAAGCACTTTTGAATAGTCATAACAATTTGTTTTTTATCCGAACGAGTGGTAACTCGTTCGGAAAGCTGTCCCATCACAAGAAGAACGAGCAAGAAACTTGTGTGATGCTCGAATCGTCCAAGAGTATTATTATGAATTAAAGTAATATTTTTTTATTAAGATGACAAATATTTTTTAAATTGGTATGTGTTTGTTGCTTTAATTGTCCACCTGATGGTAACTGGTGACCGTCGCTTACATACATGAACAGAACTAAAGATTTCCCGGTCCTTTTTTACCCATAACCACTCATGGATTACCATTCCAGGCGTCTAAGTTGTCATACGTCTTATCCTGTAATTTAACCTATAAATATTTATTGTTATATTGTATTTCAATATTCACTAGCTACTCGCCCCGACTTTGCATGGATGTACATATCTTATGCATATATACCTTCCTCTTGAATCGCTCTATCTTTTGCTAAAATCTGATTTAAAATTCATTACATAGTTTAAAAGATCTAAGCGAAAAAATACCGGAAGCGATTTCACTTCATACTACGTAAAGATAAATAAAAAAGTTAGTTCCATAACAAAAAGACTCGTTTAAATACTGTTTTTTTAATTTTTTTTTTGCAGGGCTTCTGTACATGTAAATGTATACATTTATCACGCATTGGCCAGATCCTAATAATTAAAAATCCATAATAATTAAAAAAAAAAACAATAATATTTTACCATAGACCATAAACAAAAACAGACCATAATAAACAGAGTAATTCCGTAGCAACACTTGCCTTATCGCAAATCCAGACATAACAGTTCGTAGCAGCTAGTTAATTTAAAAAAATAAAATAATAGCGCCCATAAATCACGTTTACGCATTAGCATTTCAAATATGGCGGAAAATGAAATGGCGGGAAAGTGGAAAGAAACGTTTTAGATGTTATTTCACGCAAAAAGTCCCGTATTTATTGCCTAATACTGTGAAATGTACACACCAATCCCACTACGAAGATTATGTCAACGAAGTTTAATGTTTATTTACGTTGCAATCATTAATCATGCAGAATATAAGCATAGAACCTAATTTTATAAGTAATTATTTATAACCAATTGTTGCCCGCTTGAATTCAGTTAAAATTAAATCGTTCAAATAAAAATCCACTATATATACGTGAAGCATAAACTATGTGCCCATTTTTACGAAAACGCGGATAGAGGAGTACCAAATTTCACACTTATATAGTATACTAGCTTTTGCCCGCGGCTTCGCTCGCGTTAATTTATCCCCTTAAGGGTGGAATTTAATAAAATACTTCCTTAGGGGATGCCTACGTCATAGTAGCTTTATGTATGCAAAGTCTCAGCCCGATCGGTTTAAAATTGACAAAGTTTCATATAAACTTTCATCCCCTATTTTATCCTTTTGGGGGTAGAATTAATCAGAATCTTTTCTTAGCGGATGCCTACGTCATAACATCTACCTGCATGCCAAATTTCAGCCCGATCCGTTTAGTGGTTTGGGCTGTGCGTTGATAGATCATTACGTCAGTCATCTTTGAGTTATATATATTTAGATATAGAGAAGGATTGCAGGCTGACATTTTTTATAATTAAACATAAACTCAATAAAAAAAATTACACATATTAACACGTATTTGGCACACACATAGAAGTTTGGTTTTTAACAATAGAGCCTTAGTAATGTTCAAACTTATTATTTAAATTAATTATGGTCGAATTTCAACCACTAGGTAATCAACAGTTAAAAAGAAACTTTATTCATGTAGGTATAACAGACTGTTATGACAAAAGAATGATTTCCAGAACGCATCGCGTTGAAGTAGTGTTTTATCGATAGAAATGATTTATGTTACATTCATTCGATTTTACATTATCATATTTTACAAATTCAAATGATCTTGTATTGCAATTGCATTACAAGTTTAACAGAAACGATTTCATAGCATATATTAATTTTTATTTTATTTATTTATTTATATCATTTCATATCATATCACATAATTAGCCAACTGATGACCACGTGATGATTTACCAGCAATAGGATCACTATTTTCCATGACTAAAAAAAATCCTTGCCATCGCATCATATTAGAAAATATTCAAATATACATGCACAGATAAAATACTTCATGAAATAATGGGGATAAATACCGTGGAAATGGATTGTAAGTAATGTGGATTAATAACCCCATTTCTAGCAATGTATAGTCGACCTCCACGCGGTTCCTCCTGGAAACTATCGTGATATGTTTCTGGTAAACTTGTCACGAAGACCTAACTGACTTGAACTTGTTCATCTTATCATACTCCACTGATGCCCCGCCAGCATGTATGGTTAGCGCAGGCGGGTGCACCAATTATACAGCAAATAAAAAAAGTAGGTAGATACTAAGTAACACTGATAAAATCTAGAATAAGACCCAACAATTGTGTATAAAAATGTACAAATTACTCAACTAATAGATATACATTGAGACCAGCCTAAAGATAGAGCAAATAAAATAAAAACACTCACCCAAGTCCTCATTTTCCTCGACCCAAGCCGCTTGACTGATGGCACTGTCCACAAAAACAGCCAAAATTAGGACACTGAACGCGACCTTCCCGCCAAAAGCGTCCGCCATCTTGAATTCACTGGCGCATTGTCATTTTGTTGAGTACATTATGTCTATAGTTTATGACCACTACATTCATTATAGAGTAAGTTTACCTGAAAATAAAACAAACATTAGTCAGTTTAACTATTTATAAATGATATCTAACGAAGTAGACCCTAGCGGGGACTTCGTCCAAACTTCTCTCACATCAATATGAGCTTTTGGTTTATCAAATTGTCAAGCTGGACCGCAATTGCCCTTTACAGCTTCACCGAACGATAGGGGGCGAGTGCCAATAGCACTGCAAACCTACGGAAGGACTTACGAAGCGGCAACTTTATGGGCAAATGTAATTTATTTTGATATGATCAATATATGTATAAATCCTTATAGATATTATAAATGCGAAAGTAACTCTGTCTGTCTGTCGAGCTTTCATGGCAAAACTAATGAAATTTGGTACACAAATATTCTAGACCCTAAGGAACGACATAGACTTTACAAATATAATATATGCATGTGCTAAATTCAACGGATTATTTCGTTCAATGTTTTTGTACGACAATAATAGATAATTTTTCACCATTCCCCTGTCTGTCCATCCCTATGTATGCTTAAATATTTAAAACTACGCAACGGATTTTGAAGCGGTTTTTTTTTAATAGATAGAGTGTTTCACCAGGAAAAAATTTATATGTATAATAAAACAAAGTCCTATAGCTAATATTACACAGTTCATATGCATTATATCTATATAATAAATGTTTAATTCATTCAAACTTGTATAAAAAATTTGTCCGCAAACTAAATAAATTTTATGAAGACAAAATTTACCACTGTGTCACAGTATTCGTATTTATGCAGCCGACTGTACAAATATAGGCACGTGCTCAATTCAAGGGATTTCTTTTTGTTTCCGTTTCTGCAAACACATTTGCACTTCACTAGTCTTGCAACGGATGGAAATGCGCAATGAAAATAGATTTGCACCTCGTTCAGCCATAAAAAGAACTGAAGTATTGGCTGTGCATTTTGAAACATTTACAGGCCTGTTCATGTTTGATGATGTGTCAATCATAGCGTTCATTAAAAGAAGTCGTCATCTCAATGAGATATCGCTGATTAAATGCCAAGGGACATCGACATCAAAAGGAGGAAGGGGACTGTTAGTAAAGGGTACTAGGACCCCATTACTGGCAATGTACCCCATTAGCACTATAGGCAATGTCATCTTAACTTCGTCCACTGGCACCATTCCATTATCATCCAATAAAAAAATTGGACATATCGCTGATTAAATGCCAAAGGGCCACAACGAAAAAAAAAACTGAAACTATTTTATTTCCAAAAATTAAGTAATAGTTATAACAACAAATGGGTACTGCTCGTCCAATACAAAATATTGAGATTTTTGGGAATGACATTTTGTAACTGTCATGATCGTTTGAAAGGGAGCAATCTTCAGCTTTTAGTTCTACATAAAGCAAAAAAATATTTTTTTTTATCTTAGATACCGTTTTAGGAAAAAAAATATTTGTTTCTTTTGCGTAGTAGCCCTTTGGCATATAATAAGCGATATGTCCAATTTTTTTATTGGATGATAATGGAATGGTGGCCAGTGGACGATGTTAAGATGAGCATGAGGTCAGGTTCGTTAGCCTATAGTGCTAAACCATTTCTTTTCCAGGGGAAACGGCGTGGAGGCCGACTTGCAATGGTATATTGCCAGCAATGGGGTCCTAGTACTAGTCCTAGTCCCTTTACTAACAATCCCCTTCCTCCTTTTGATGTCGATTGAAACGGTTAGCAAGTATAGTATACAAAGACTCTAAAGAATTTGTTTAAATAATACAAAAATATTACAATAGCATGTAACAGAAACAATTACATTAGCTTATATCACCAGGAATTGAAAATAATAGTTTCCAGGGGGACCGCTTGGAGGTCAACCTGATATGGTATATTGCTAGCAATGAGGTTATTAATCACGATTGGGGTAATCTAGATTAATACATTATTGTATGTATTAATCCAGATTACCTCAATCTGATATTACGGGCTCTCTCAAATCACTCCTAAATATGTTGTACCCACTCACAGGAATTGCTCCACCAGATGTTGTGCGAGACAGAAAAAAATTCAAAGTTTTATACTGTACAAGGAATCAAACCCGCGACTATCGCATAAAGGCGGTGTACTAAACCGCTATACCACCGAGGCCGTTAGTAAATTAATAAGACTTGTAGATACAAAACCGGCCTAACGTTCACAAACACACTCAAATGTATGTTAATACCCCGTATCACTGTCCGGCAGCGACGCGATATTTGCATTGTATTGAATACGAGGGGGTCGGAATGGGGCGCCCCTGGTGGTGTCACTTCAATTTATTTATTAGTTTTTCGTGTCGAAATTTCAAAAATAAAACTTTTGACACGTTACCCCTCAGGTTACGTGATGGAAAATAGGTCATATTGCGAATGAAATACAGTACAAGACCCACATTCGATGTGCATATATAACATTTCGAATACCTATGTATACCATATAGTTCTCTAAATAATAAAATGCATCAACTCAAAAATTAGATTTTTTGGAAAATTAACTCAGACTTAATTTTAAAGTTCATTTCGAAATTTTTATTTATATCCATTAAGGCAGTTTAATTATTTCTAGATATTTTTTGTACGGATGATAATGGAATGATGCACCCGCCTGCGCTAACAGTTTACGCTAGCGGAGCACCAGTAGAGGACGATAAAAAGAACGGATGCCCACGCAAACAACTATGTACAAAGTGTACATACAGGTAGAGTATTGAGATATAAAACATGTCTCAGAACCGTAACTGCTTGCCGGTAGACATAAACGAGAGAGGGATGCCTACGCAGACATTTTGGACAAAGTATACCCATAAGCAGGCTATTGAGACATGTAACATGTCTCAGTACCCTACGTGCTTTCCAGTAGATATAGGCGAGAGACAGATGCTGCCGCCGCAGATATTTTGGACAAAGTGTACATACAAGCAGGGTACCGAGACACATAAGATGTCATAGTAACTACTACTACTACATGTCTAAGTCCCCTGCCTAAAACCGGTAGATATAAGGGAGAGCGAGAAATGCCCACGCAAACATTTTGGACAAAGAGTACATACAAGCGTGGTACTGCGACACGGAGCATATCTCAGTACGCTGCCTGCTTGCCGGTAGATATAAACGAGAGAGAGAGAGAGATGCCCACGCGGACATTTTGGACAAAGAGTACATACAAGTGTGGTACTGCGACACGGAGCATGTCTCAGTACGCTGCCTGCTTGCCGGTAGATATAAACGAGAGAGAGAGATGCCCACGCGGACATTTTGGATAAAGAGTACATACAAGCAAGTTACTAAGTCATGCAACATGTCTTAGTACCCTGCCTGCTTGCCGGTAGTTATAAGCGAGACAGAGAGAGATGCCCACGCGGCCATTTTGGACAAAAAGTACATTGTATATACTTTTTGTCCAAAATGCCCGCGTGGGCAGGCAGCAGGGTACTACGACATGGAACAATTACAAATTTCACAATGCAATACTCATTGTGAAATTTGTAATTAATTGTGTTCCTGTAAAATCTAAAATTCATAAGCAAATGGTACTTAATTTAACACAAGAAATAGAGAGAGAGATATTGTTCTTACGAAAATAATACTATAATGTTAAAGTATATGACGTCTGCATTGATTGTGAAGATCATGCAAATTGTTATCCCTACCTGCTTCCGGTAGATATAAGCGAGAGAGAGAGTAATGCCCACCTATAATTTTGGACAAAGAGTTAAACACAAATGGCGAATGTCTCAGTACGGAACCATCATTTCGGTAGATATAAAGGGATATTATCTGCTTGCTGTTAAAGGAAAAAGATACACATCTTTCTCTCGCCGATACTTTGAATTATGCAGATATTTTGGACAAAGTATCTGCGTAATACAGGCAGAGTTTTCAGACATGTCCCAATACCGTGTAACCTGTAAGCGATAGAGAGGTGGCCCACGCAGTCATTTTTGTACAAAGTGAACATTCTTAAACATTGTGTTACATTTATATTGAAACACGACAAAGAGAAATAATAAGTCCCTAATTCAGAATTAGACACAGTTTCCTATTATATTATTTAAACTCATAATCACATCACCTACGCAACATCAAAGATCAGTGTTAAGGAAAATGTCTAATTGCTAATGTTAGTCAAATTACAAGCAAGACAAAGCAGTTAAATTAATTCGAATTCATCATATTTCTATTCTTTCTTTCCGTTTTAATATATACAAAATAAATAATTATATTTTAAGTTATATTTTAAGGAAAATTCCTGTAAATTAATCATATAAATAAGAACCACCCCTACTCTGGTATTCTCTGCACTACCCATGGCTGTATAATAGATAACACAACAAAGTATTAAGTCTGCAATATATATTACTAGCTGTGGCCACAGTATCACCCGCATGTTTATGGCTATAAACATGCGGGTGATACCGTGGCCACATGTGTTATTCTAATATCTAAGCTATATTACTGTAAAGTTTCATCAAAATCCGTTCAGTAGTTTTTGCGTAAAAGAGTAACAAACATTCATCCATACTCACAAACTTTTGCGTTCCTTTTTTTTATAACACAGGGGACAAACGAGCATGCGGTTCACTTGTCGGTAAGTGATTACCCCCGCCCATGAGCACCCGTAACACCAGGGGAAATGCAAGTGCGTTATCAGCATTTTAAAAGATGTTAGCTCTTTTCTTAAATATTTCAATATCGTATCGATTCGAAAATACTATTGCTGGAAGGCAGTTCCACAGTGTAGTTGTGCGTGGCAAAAATTCTAGAAATCCGCACTGTGGAGGACCGCCATTCATCCAGATAATCTGGATGGTATTTTAGTTTCTGGCGGGTGGTACGGTGGTGAAACTCAGCGGCTGGTATAAATCCGAACAATTCCTCAGAACACTCACCGTGATATATGCGGTAGAAAATGCACAGAGACGCAATATCTCGCGGCAGAGCCAATGGATCGAGTCTGTCACAAAGACGGTGATTACCATTTATACTTAAACCAGCAGTTATAA